GAAATTTCCTCCCCTGTTCAGGTGTTTTCTAGTTTTTGTTTTGCCTGGGAACTGGCCCAGTGAATGTCCCCTGCCACCAGCCTCCATGCCAGTCCCCCACGTTAGGTTCCTTGGCTATCTCCCCCCACCTCCCAGTTCCCCACTACTGGGGTGGGAGATCTACCACCTCTGTGGTCACCTGTTTTGGCCACTTTGGCACCGTAGCAGGCAGCTGTTCTCACCAACAAGCAATCTGTGGGAATTTACTCCAGCTCCACCTGATACCTGGAGTATTCCTATTTTTGCCTCCTTTTATCCTAATGATGTTATAATCTAGAACAGAACGGTACCACTGCTGTTCTCCAGACTTCTTATCAAACAATTTCTCTATCAGACACATTCAGATGACAGACAAGCCACTTCTGGCCCCATGTGGGTTCCTGTGTGGGTGCTTTTTTGAGTAGGAATGGACTCGAGCAGAAATTTTGTGTTATGCCAAATGGGAGAAAAATGAAACCCACCTATGCATATGGGGCTCTTCAGGCATGTTCCAGGTATAATACTTGGGTGCTGGCTGCTCAGCCTTAAATGTAGTGGATATAACTCAGTATTTCTTCTTCTAGTGCCTTTGGGTTGAAGAAAACATTTAATATCCATACATCTCTAATAAACTAAAGCTGTAACGAGGCTTCTTCTATTTGTATTGCTCTTTAGTTGTCTCCTATGCACATTTACCATTGATTTTTGCCAAACTCCCCTATACTGTAAGTATGCAGTTATAACCTGGTGTTATTGAGAGGAGCTGAGGAGAGAAAGGATAGCCATAAAATTACTGGTTGCAAACAAATGCTGCAGCTCTATTTGGGCATTTATCAGTAACACCTGGAGATTATTGCATGCAACCTTCCTAATCAGTAAATCAGCCAGCCACCAATTGTTTCCTTAGCCACATCAGACAAAAATGTAACAGCTGTTTAATTTACTTTTTTTATGGTAGGGAAGTCATATCCTGAATCATTGATATCTTTATTTTTCAACTTGCTGCCATTAAATTATTTCTTTTATTTTCTTTTCTTTTCTCTCAGTGTTGCCTGCTATAAAAGACGGGAGGGCTGGTCTGTGTGCATGAGGTGGCCTGATGTCATCTTTCAGGATGGTGCCCTCATGGAAACTGAGTAAAACTCTCTGGAGGAGCTTTCCTAAGTAAGTTGAGACATCCCCTCAAGTCCAAGGGGGAACATTTGCTAACATGAGCAGGAACTGAAGGAAGCACAAGCCCAGAGCTGAAGCTTTGCAAGCTCTAGAAACTCTAAAGCAAATGGCTCCGGTTGGCTTGAGACTGTGCAACAGCCAGCTACAACTGAATGCTTTATTGCCGTCTGGAAGTGTTTGTTTTCTGAACATAAATTCAAAGGACAGATTCAAGGCATGTCTAGAAATAAAGCATATCATCATGTGAGCTAAGCTG